GAATTTGAACATGACATTTTTTTCTGTCTTTTCATTACAGAATTCTAGAGATTCACTTAACTGGATCCATGTAAGTGTATTACATGTAAGGAACCCCTGGTACCCAGGGCCAGGACCGTCATCTCCTCTTTGCTGGTGTCTTCTATTTGCCTCTCACATATAAACACACTGCTGTTTTCCTGCAGTTTTGTTTGTTGTAAGCAAGTCACAGATGTCCTGTCCTTTTATCGATAATTATCCAGGTATGCTAAATTTGGAGGTTGATCATTTTAGATGATATTTAAAACCCTGGGATTTGCTGAGATCATCCAGGCTGAGGAGTTGGAGGAAATGAGAGATGAAGCTGGGTCTCCTGTGCGCAGGGGTCAGGGGAAGGGCAGCACCCTGGAGAGAGGCTGAGGAGCACCCATAGGGGAGGCCACGAGCCAGAGCCAAGGGAACAAAGGGCTCCCAGAGAGGGGGATTGACTCCGGAGTCACCTAAGAAAGACAAGGCTTTTTTAAAAGTATTCTTTAGTTGCCAATGGACCTTTATTTTATTTATTGATATGTGGTGCTGAGAATTGACCCAGTGCCTCCCACATGCCAGGCAAGCTCTCTACCACGGAGCCACCACCCCAGCCCCAAGATAATGCTTTTTAATCCCCAGGCTTAACTATATTATGGACACTTCTGAATATTATAGTATAGATTCTATAAGGAAAAGTTTATAAGTACTTATTGGTCTATCTTTTGGAGGGTTGAGGTGTAACTTAGATTGTAAAGTGTGTAAAGGACACAAATGTGATGTGTAAGGACAGAGAATTTTTGCAAATATATATACACATGTAACCACTGATAGCCAGATAGCATTCGTAGGACCTCCGGGATTTCCCTGTGCCCTTTCCCCCCAGTTCCCTCACTCTAGAAGCAACCACAGGCCTGTCACTCTGGATTAGTCGCACCATTTGGAACTTTATACAAATGAAAGCTGACAGCTTGCTTTGAGTGTCAGAGAGCTACTTCAGCGCTCTCTGCTTGGGAAAGTCTTCCGTGGCGTTGCAAGTAGAGGAGGTTGTTCTCTGAGACTAGCCCTGAAAGGATACCCACATACAGATAATTTTATAGTATTTAAAACAAAAAGACTCTGCATTTCACTTCCAGATGTCTTGCACTCTAGTGAATAAGTAATGAGCCTTAAGGAGAAAGGATCAAATTCTTTTTAAAGTTCTGGTGGAACTGCACACCTGCGATCCCAGCTATTCGGGAGACTGAGGCAGGATCACAAACTCCAGGCGGCCTGGGCAACTTAGTGAGACCCTGTCTCAAGATTTAAAAAGCCCGACTCGGTAGTGCATGCCTGTAATCCTAGCCACTCTCCCTCAGGAGGCTGAGGCAGGAGGATCAAGAGTTCAACCCAGGCTCAGAAATTTAGTGAGGCCCTAAGCAACTCAGCGAGACCCTGTTTCTAATAAATATTAAAAAGGATTGGGGACATGGCTCAGAAGTTAAATGTCCCTGGGTTCAATCCCTGGTACCAAAAAAAAAAAAAAGGTGGAGGTGGGGGTTAGGGATGTACCTCAGAGGTAGAGAGCTCCTGCCTTTCCCCAGGACTACAAAACCAAACCAAAAGTTCCAGCAAGAAGCACTCTCCTGGGTTTTGTATGTTGGTAAGTATTTCATGCAGCATAAAAACTCCAAATAAGTCTTTGAATGGCTGTTCTGGCCTTGATTTGAACAGCTTCCATTATGGACCACAGTAAAGACCTGGATGAACCTTGGAGATGTTTGTTTTAAGTGGATGTGGCGGGGAGGGTAGAGCCGTGGACAGTCAGACAGAGACTGGAAAAGAAGAGGAGCCCAGGGTCTGAGGCAGCCAGGATGGGAAGGTGGGAAGGTGGGGAGGTCGGAGGAGGAGGATGGGGTCAAACCCTGAAGAGTCTCCAGGTGAGGCTCAGGTTTTGCTGACACAGTGGAACTCTGCTCTGCTATGGAAAGATGAGCAGGGTCTTCCAGCCATTGAGCACGTAGGGCAGGCCTCCGGGTTCCTTCCAAGGCTCAAAGTCTGGCAAAAGGAATCACCATAGAGGTCACAATGGTGGTCACTGGGAATGGAGGAGGATATTGACTAGGAGGGACACAGAGGGTTTTTGTTTTGTTTTTTTTTTTTGTTTGTTTTTTTTGTATTAGGGATTGAACTCAGGGGCACTCAACCACTGAGCCACATCCCCAGCCCTATTTTGTATTTTATTTAGAGACAGGGTCTACTGAGTTGCTTAGGGTCCAGTTAAGTTGCTAAGGCTGGCTTTGAACTCATGATCCTCCTGTCTCAGCCTCCGGAGCCACTGGGATTATAGGCGTGCGCCACCATGCCCAGCAACAGAAGAGTTTTAAGTGGTTGGAAACTTCTAGCCTGAGCTGAGTGGTGCTGGCTCAGGTGAATGTATTTGTAAAAATTAATTGAAACTACACTTAAAATGTGTATACTTTATGTACATTATATCTCAATAAAAGAAAAAAAAAACAGCTTGCTTGGCCTTGGAGCTAGACTTTGACAGGAGGATAGTGGGAGCCGTGGAAGATGTAGAGCATGGCAAAGCCCTGGTCAGTTCTGGGTGTTATAAAGGTCTTCAGGGCCACTATGGGAGATGCCTGAAGGGGTGAGGCCAGGGGGCTGGTCTCTATAATCTTGGACAAGCTCTCACCTATCTCTGGGCCTTCTCTTCTCCACCCAGTCCTCATGGGAGTAGAAGCAGAACAGAAATAAGAGAGGGAAGTCACCAAAATTGCCAGAGATTGAGCCCCTGGAAGGAGGAACAGCCCTCTGATTTGTGTCTGCACCCCAACTCCTGGCACAGTAAGAAGCATGGATTTGCTGACAGGGGGTGGAAAGACTGCTAAAAGGGGGTCAAGAAGATCTGAGCACTGCTGGGGTGGGAGAGGGTAGGCAGGCCAGGAAGACCCAAGGAAATCCAGGGCATGGTGTCTCTTCGGTACCCTTTTAGTTTCTTATTCAAAAAGCCCCTTTTAGCCAGGAACCATGGTGCACACCTGTAATCCTGGTGATGGGAAGCTGAGACAGGAGGACTGTAAATTTGAGACCAGTCTCAGTAACTTAGCAAGACCCTGTCTCAAAATTTTAAAAAAATTAATCAATAAAAAGGGCTGGGGATGTGACTCAGTGGTAAGGGTTCAACCTTCATAATTGGGTGGTTGGCTGAAGGCCCCTTCTAACTGGTTTTTGACCCAGTTTCAGCTAAAACAACACAGAAGGGTGATTACTCTGAAGGTGAGGGACTTTGAGGCCCCAGGTAGTCAGAAGGTTCATTCTGTGACATTTATGCCAGGCCCTTGGCCTCGACAACATGGTAGTTGACAAAAATGAAAATACAGCTGTTGTCCCCGGGCCTGCCTGGGCTAGCTGGCTAAGCGGCGGGGCTCTGGAGCGAGGCTGCCTGAGTCTCACCCTGCCCTCCCTCCACCTCTCTACTATGACTTAGGGCAGGTTTCTT